CTATGCTTTCAGCAGATGCTTTCCTTATAAAGTAAGAATGTGTTACAGACTTTGTACCTAAATGATTCCTTTCTTCCAAAGAACAGAACTAAGGAATCTGCAGGACAAGGAAAGTCTGGAAGATTGTGCTGTCAGTGTCAGTAAAGTCTTAGCTTGATGTGAAACTTTGTCTCTTCATTTGTTAACTGCAGCTTTATGATTTTATCTTGGAGCCCCCTGGTGAACTAAGGGCCTTTGCAGACTGCCAGAAATAGTGCACATTAAATTGAGGCACTGCCCTGGCTCAGTGCTAGGGAGTCATGCGAATTGTATTTTTTTCTGGGACATTGAGCCTTCTCTGTCAGAGAGCTCTGGGGCCACAATAAATTACAGTTACCATGATTCCCTAGCACTGAGCCAGGGCAGTGCCTCAATTTAATGTGCACTATTTCTGGCAGTCTGCAAAGGCCCTAAGGCAATGGGGTGTGTGTGTGTATTTTTATTATGGTTGAAGATAAAATTTAAGGACCTAGACTTCAGTTTAACATACACATATACACCACTTACTGGTAAGAAACACCACTCTCATAATATCCTTTTGCCCTTTGGTTGGCAGTGGAGCAGACACTTTTGAGGGTATATCCAAATTCAAAACATTTTTAAATACCTAGGTCTAGTTGTTTTCTGTCTTAATAGTATTGGAGTTGCTAGTTGCCTTGTTGGGATCTAGCAGGTGATAATGAATAGCTGACACTGAACAAACAGTGTATGAATGAGGTGAAACAATTCCTTTTCTTTCATTCCTGTGGAGTTTCCACCGATTGTCTTTGTTGGGTCTTCCTATCTTAACTGCTTTTGCAGACTGAAGGAAGGAGGAAGATCCCATGTGCCCATAGTTATGCATGCATATGCTGTCCTCCCTAAAGTTTTGCTGGTTTGGTTCCCGCTTTGAAAATGGAAGCAGACAAGAAATTGTGTTTACCAGACCACTAAACATTTTTATCTTCTCTTCCAGGGCATTTCAAGTTCTGTAAATAACAGCTGGGATTGCAGCAGGAAATGACTTTTTTTTGGCTGCCTTTTATATAGATATTTATAATGTAAGAAATGGGTTACTGGTTTGGGCAAATAAATGAAAGTAACTGCAGACATCACAGTAAACAAGCTAGTCAGATTGCAAATCTTTTCTTTATCAAGGGAGATAGGAAGGCAAAGGGTGCATTTTTGAGAATGGGTAAAATGAGCACCTATCACCTGTGGTTGAAGGGATTCTCTGATACCTGAGGTCATTGATGACTGGCAGGTGTTGAAAACAGAGGACTGAGCTAACTGAGTGGGATATAAATAAAAAATTTATTATTATTATTATTATTATTATTATTATTATTATTATTATTATTATCTGTATTTCATAGTGCTATTAGGATAAATTGAGTTTAGCATAGCAAAAACGGGTCTCTGCCACAATGAGTTTGCAGTTTCCAAACTTTGACAGCATTCTGTTCTAGCACAACAGCTTCTTTAACATTTTGTCCTGACTGTACAGATAGTGCAAATGTTCCCTTCCATTAGCTTAAAGTGATAAAAATTACAATGCAGATAGGCCTCAAAAAAGCTTGAGTTCAAATCATTGCTCTTTCCTCAATTTAGTGCATGCCAATTGACAATCAGTTTCATCCCTAGTGCTTTATTTGTAAATGGAAATAGAAGTTAATTCTACTGGATTGTTTTGAGGACGAACATGAGGAACAGAATTGCAAATTAAGATAAAACCCTGCGGAAAGGACAATGGGTGACAATGCAAGAAGAGGGTCTTTGCAGTGATCCTAAGGTTATGGAGCTCTCATTCAAAGAGATCTGCTACATTACTTCTTTATTGACTTTTGGACCCTTGGTTAATGTTGCCCTTTCTAGAAAGCTTGTAGGTTTCAGTAGCCTTAGTTTGTAAGCTGACTTAAACCCTGGTTTTGGGGAAATGATGAGCTGTGGATGATGATGATAATCATCATCATAGAATCCTAGAGCTGGAAAAGACCCCAAGGACCATCCAGTCCAACCCTCTGCCATGCAGGAGCACACAATCAAAGCACCCCTGACAGATGGTCATCCAGCCTCTGTTTAAGAACCTCCAAAGAAAGAGACTCCACACCTTCTGAGGGAGTGTCTTCCACTGTTAAACAGCTGAGGCTGGATGGGCATCTGTCAGGATGCTTTGATTGAGAGTTCCTGCATGGCAGGGGGTTGGACTGGAGGCCCTTGTGGTCTCTTCCAACTCTACGATTCTATGATTTACTGTCAGGAGGTTCTTTGTAATGTTGAGGTGGCATATCTTTTCTTGTAGCTTGCATCCATTGTTCCATGTCCTAGTCCTGGAGCATCAGAAAACAAGCTTGTTCCATCTTCAGTGTGACATCCCTTCAAATATTTAAACAGGGCAATTATATCACATCTTCTCCAGGCTAAACATACCCAGCTCCCTAAGTCTCTCCTCATAGGGCTTTCTGGTTTCCAGACCCTTCCCCATTTTATTATTATTATTATTATTATTATTATTAGTAGTAGTAGTAGTAGTATCCCGCCCCTCTGTCAAGCAATTGGGGTGGCTTACAGCCATTAAGATTCCTTACAATATATTAAAATACAATCCAAAAATCCCAAAACCCTCCTCTGGAAACGCTCCAGTTTCCCAACATCCTTTTTGAATTGTGGTGCCCAGAACTGAAAATGATGTAACAATGTAATTTTTATGTGTATGCTCTTTATTGATTAGTAATGGTAGGATTGGGCTTTTTAAAAATGACACACGGCTGTTGACCTTGGAGACTTCATCCAGAATCCTTTTGGCTTCACTTTTTCCATGGTTGTACAGTGGCGGTGCAGGACACACCTGTCAGCTCTGAGCAGGTTTTTCCCCCAGTGTCTTCTTTCTTTTTAAGCCTTTTTTTCCACCTATCCCTACTGCCTGTGGCAGCACAGTTAACACCAACATAGTATGCCAGCAGGATCTGGCATTTGAGTTGAAAGACTGCCTATGAATATTTTAATAAAAATGTGTGTGACTCACTTAATTCAAATGTTTGTAGTCTCTAATTCAAACAGTCAAGAGTGCTGCTTGTATTAACTCAGATGTGTATCTTACTAACCTACAGGTTACATAGCCTTGGCTTTTTAATGCTATGAGCAGTTTTTCTATAGTTTGGTGTGTTCTTTTCCAAAGTTTTAAAATTCAGACAGGAAAAGGATTGTATTGCCTGAGGAATGTAGGTTTCAATGCAGAATGTTGGCTCAAGCCTTTATACAACACAATCCCTAAATGCAAAAACTTTGATGCCACTTGGATTGGTAGGTGATCTACAAAAACTGGTAAGATTGTGTGGTACTTGTGATTTAGTACAAAAACTGTCCGCTTCTCAAATGTTTATCAAATTTGTCTTGGAGCCTTAGTTTTAGCAATTGTGTTCAAACCAAAACTGTAGATTAGTAAGAATCTTGGGGAATGGAAGATGAAGTGTGCACTAAGCAAAGTGACTCTTGGGAAGACTGGTTTCCTAGTATTTATCGCCTGTAAACCAGAAGAAAATTAACTTATAATTTTTCTATTGTGGCCTCCTCCCAATCTTCTTCAGTGCAGCAAGGATGATCAGACTCCATTCTTCTGGAATCTGGTACACGAACTAGTTGTGAGCCTCAAAACTGAATGGAGGTCATAGTTGTTCCATATTAAAATCCCACGTATCCCCAGTTATTCTATTTTTAACCGTCTTTACCTAACAAAGAAAAAATTCTTTTAGAAAGCTAGCAGCAATATTTTTGTGCTGGCTTAATAAAGGTAATACTACAACATGGACTTGGAATTTGAATTTATGACCAACGTGGCTATCTGCATTTGCATTCTAGCAATATAAATTGGAATTGTTAAATAGCTGCTCTATTCAGATGATGATTTGATGGTAGGTTTTTACTTTTAAATGTTCCACCTTCCCTTGCAGCAGTGCCTGCTGTCAGTCTGTCTATCTCTTTCCCCCCACAGAGCTATGTAAAGATAAAGAGGTTATCCTGTGGTTCTAGAAACTAAATGATCCATCAATTTTATTGTATTTACTGCCTGTTAGTGGATTTTACTCTGATGCTAGTGTTGCATAACCATTTTGATCATACTGTTGTATACCACAAGGATGAAAGAGATTAAGAATATTTTAATTAATAAATAAAATATTCTGTTGTTCTTCTGACATTTTTCAGTAATCAAGTGATCCTTGCTTTACAAATATTTGCTTATGGCAAATGGCCTGCAGGGCATGTGATTTGGTGTTGGAATGAGACACATGTCTGAGATGCTTTAGTATGTAGGGTATTGTATTACTAATCCAGTATTACTGTCCTCAGCTGAGTTCACTTTCTGGTGACAGTAAGTATGGTAAGTAACACAATGCTATTAAGGTGATTCTGAGCCGGTTCTTTTGTTATGGTGGGAATAAGCTAATACCTATCTTAACAATTAAAAACATTTAAAAAAACTTAGAATCTCCATGTTTCACCAATTTGTTCATATTTGTCAGCCATTCAAAAAAGCAAAAAAAGAGTTTTATAAAAAAAATTAAAATAATTCAGTGATCCTCATTCTGTAGTTGACTCAAGAACAAGGACTAGCCTGAACTCCATTTAATGGCACAACTGGCAGGTGCTACAAAAGTTGTTGGAAATTGGCTAGTGATCACTGGGGGGCCATTATTTTTTTGCCTGAACTGATTGTGGTATAATCACTTTTATTAGGCTATAGTTTATTGCTGCTTTGTAAATAAGAACACAAATAACTAGCTTGCAGCATTGTATACTATCCTGTTTTGCATTGAATGCAAGATGCTCCATTCCTCATCCATCAGCTCCTTTCAGTGCCTGTATAGAATTTCATGTGTTTGTTTCCATTAAGTTTCCAACCACCTAGGACTACCAGGCTTGTGCTTAAATGCAAGGCAGATCTGTTGGTAGGTACTCATAGTTTGATGTAATATTTAGGATGAGCCAAAGTGGTATAGTGGTTTGAGTGTTGGACTATGACTTTGGAAACCAGGGTTCGATTCCCAGCATGGACATGAAACCCATTGGGTGACCTTAGGCATGTCACATGCTCTCAGCCTCAGAGGAAAGCATTGGCAAACCTCCTCTGAACAAATCTTGCCAAGAAAGCCCCATGATAAGTGTAGATTTTACTAGTATTAGTAATAGTAAAGTGTATAAAAATAATAAAGTGTAAAGTTTTTCAACATGTGTTTGCACAGTATGGTTTCTAATTTGTGTTAGAGCATTTATTTATTATTTATTTTATATATTTCAAGGATTTATATCCCAGCTTTCTCCCACAATGGGATTCAAGGCAGGTTACAAAGCTTTGTGGGGGCATGGATGCATTTACTGTATTATCCCAGATGAATCAATCTGGGATTGTTTTTGGTTGATCCAGTGCCATCTCCACAAAGTTGTGATTCTTCTGTGTTTTCACCTTCAGGATCAGTTTATCATTTGTCTGCAGAAAAGAGTGGTGTTCTTTGCCTGGTAGTACATAAAATGCATTGTCTCTGGTAGAACATAATTATAGTAAAGAAACATGGAAAATCCCTTTAAAATATCTCTGAAAAATCTTTTTATTCAGAATGCTCCTGCAGTGTGTGTCTGTGGTGAGGGGGAGGCCTGCTAAAGTGTCAGCCATATGAGTGAGGAAGGATCCAAACTCCTAATAGTAGAGAAATCCATCCATCTGGGAGTACATCTGTCCTCTTCTCTCCCAACCACCTGGAAATGCATCTAATTCCCAGGGCTCTGGTGTGTGATACATTTTCCCTATGCAAATGTGAAACTTTAATTGCATACAAAACCCAGCACCATACGAATCTTGTTTTTTTAAGCATTTTTTTTTTAAAAGAGAGAAAGCTGAAATAAAAGTCTTGTTAGATCAAAGTAACATCTCTGCAGTGACTATCAGATGCTTATGGAAAGTCCATAGGCAGAACAGAAGAACAATAGCCCCTTCTTTAGTTTCTTGAAAACAGCTCATTATTACCAGTTCTATTTAGGAGGCAAATTTTCTGCATCTTTATAGGGTATACACTGTTATCTTTTTGCTTCTACATAATGAAATGCATTAGGTTAGGGTTTCGATCTTAATCTTTTGGGGCTTTCCTGTGTAGCCAAAAAGAATGTATGTCACCATGTAGGTACAGAAATAGTACTTTTATTTTCCATAATTGAACTATAATAAACTGCAAACAGTAATGTTGAGCTTCAAATAAAAATTCAAGCAGAAAGACTCGACTATAACTCTAGGAAATTAATTTGTACAGTGGTACCTCTACTTACGAATGCTTCTTCTACCAAAAAATTCAACTTACGAAACGTGCCTCCCGAAAAAATTTGCTTCGACTTAAGAAAGCGTTCCAACTTACGAAATTGGCGCGAACGAGCTGCTCTCCGAATTTCGTGGCATGCCATTGGTTAGCGAAATCTAGCAAAGCAGCACTGTATTGACTAGCGAAAGAGGAAGCGTTTGCCTAGTGAAATTCAGCTAGGCAGCACTGTTTGGGCTTGCAAAAGAGGAGAGGAAGTGTGGCTAGCGAAATTGGTGGCTTCTGAGATCCAGGAAGGTAGGACTTGTGGCTTTTGAACTCCAGGACTGTATTTTTGGCTTGTAATATTTGTGGCTTCTGATCTCCAGGACTGTATTTTTGGCTTCTGATATTTTTGGCTTTTGATCTCCAGGACTGTATTTTTGGCTTCTGTGGCTTCTGATATTCAGGAATGTATTCAAGTTGTAGCTTGAATCTGGGGGGCCTGGAACGGATTAGGGCATTTCAATGTTAAATTTGCTTCTACTTACGAAATGTTCTACTTATGAAATGGCTGTCAGAACGAATTAATTTTGTAAGTAGAGGTACCACTGTATTGGAAAGAGTTGCTCTACTTTGAATATGACAGCATTCCTCTGTTTCAAGATTAGATAATATTTGAGAAATGAGATGTAATACCATTTTTCACAACAGTACCGCCTCCTCAGAATTCATCAAAAGGTGACAGGATGTGTTTTTGCTTGGTTTGGTCATGCAGAGCTTTTACACGCAACCCTCCAGATCAGTGGGTGTTTGGTTCCAGACCCCCATGAGTGCCAAAAATCTGGGATCTCAAGTCTCATTACCTTCAATGGAAGCCGATTTGCATGTGGCTGTGTTGGCATGGGTACGTACACACACCACAATAGATGATATTGTGGTGGGGCCATCGGCAGATGCTCCAGTCCAGGGGTAGGCAACCTTTCTCCTTTAAGGGACGAGGGACTTTAGCTCCCAGAAGCCTCAGCCATGTTGGCCAATAGTCCCATGTTGGGCAGTAGCTCCTGGGATTCTGGGAGCTGAAGTCCCTCGGCCCTTAAAGGGGAAAGGTTGCCTACCCCTGCTCCAGTACATGGATGGCTATCCTGCCAATATGGAGGGTTGACTGTATATTTTCCCTTGTTTTATCACCATGATAAAAGGTGCATATACATCGCCAGAAAGAAAAGCACCAATGGTTTTACAGATTCCATTGCTGATTTCTCCTATTTCTCCTACAAAAATATATTTATGATTTTATACACTATATGTGAGGAGAGGTGCTGTGCAGGAGCACACACCCATTAAAACAAACGGGACTTGATGTCCCGCGTTACTTGTCTTACACGGCGGGGTGGTGGTGTTACAGAACGGATCCCCCACGTATAGGAAGGGCCTACTATATTTGGTCTGTGCATGATAATTTTATGTTCAGTTCTTATCTCCTCCCTCCAGCATATTAGAGTAAACTCTCACCATCCCCAGAAACCCCCAAAGTTTTGATGTAGCGGACTCTAATCAAAATCAGCTTATGGTGATGATGAAAATAACTCATTAACTATATGTTTTTAATATTCAGTAACTCTCAAGATCCTTTTGATTTTATAGAACTAGATCTGAGGCCAGTATCCTGACCACAATAGATTCATTACTTGTGATCCTGGCAGTTCAAATTAGAGATGAGCAGAAAGATAGAAAATAACTACTTGAAGCTAGGATTGTTCCCAAATGTTTCAAGAAAATGTGTCTTGGTATTTCTTCCAGGCCCTGTATCCCAAAACATTTGTTGTTTTGCCCTGCTATAAAATGAAGTGTCAGTGATGAGAGGCAACACTTCTTTGCCATGAACTGAAGCAGCCTTTATATATGACAGTGACACTCTAATGAGTGGCTAAGAATGCAACTTTTCCTTGGCAGGAAAATGGTTGGACTTGGAAAGCTTTGCTTTCTGCCTTCAATTTGTTGGAGAGTCCAGCTGCAACAGGTTTAACTGGCTAAAAGAGAACCCTGTTCTTACACAAGCCGGATATGAGGAGGAAAAGGTATAGCAGTTAGTTTGGTATTCGGAGCAGACAAAGGCATTCATTAATGTTATTATTTTTGATGAGAAACTTTCAGCAACATCATTGGTATCTGCAATAAAGTGCTTCCCTTTCCATCTTTGTTTTGAGACAAGTAATAAATAGTGTGCCTGGGGAATCCTTTTCCTTATATGCACATATTATAACTTGAGGCTGCGCAGCAAGTATTAAACATTGCTTATGGTTTTTCTTTTTCTTTTTTCCAGCTGAAAGTGAATTTCCATACAGTGAATCAAATTCTGTATGGGATGGAAGTTTAAAAAATGATAACAAAACCCCTTTTAGTGAGTAAAAACCCCTGTAATTCAGCCTTTCCTATTTGGGAGATTTTAATGCTCTTCATAGACTTTTCTGACAGATTTTCAGAATGCTTTGCAGTACAATCTTACATGTGCCTTCTCAAAAGTAAATCCTTTTGAATTGAATGAGGCATATTTATTCACTTATTAACTAAGTTTTAATTTACAGCCTATAAATGGTGCTCCAAGCAGCTTACTCTCAGGACTTAGGGCTTTAGTGTACAAAATTCTCTCACCCAGGAGAAAGCCAGCATATAAAATAAATAAAATATTTATAACTAAGGGAGAAGATAACAATTGTTTTGGGTTTTAAAGACCCTCCTTGAAGAGCATTAAAATCTCCCAAACAGGAAAGCTCACATGGTGTAGACCAGGGTTCAAATTCCTGCTTGGCCATGTAGACCCCCTGGGTGACCTTGGGCAAGTCATACTCTCTCAGCCTCAGAGGAAGGCCAGGGCAGACCCTCTCTGAACAAATTCTGCCAAGGAACCCCAGTGCTTAACAGGAATCTCAGTATGTCTATTTTAGTGTAAAACACAGTGATGAAAAATAAAATCAAGGCACAATTATCCTGTGAGGACCAAGTGCTTTTAATGTTTGTCCATTTTCCTTAAAAGATAGAGAAACTCCTGCTCATTTATTAAGATTTACCAAGGACTAATCTTGGAAATGGTGCCTGGTCCAGGAAAAGCATGACAAGTACATCATGCGAATTATAGGACGATGCTGTGGTTGATATCTATAGAGAGCTGTACAATTGAATATACTTTAGAAATATGTTTCTTGAACTGCTTCTCCAGTTCCTGATATTCCATATGGCAAAGTGCTTTTGAAACAAAGGAACTTGCAAAAACTAGCCTGGAATATGACAAATAATCTATCACTATTTTTTTAAATCCTACTGGGAACGCTCAACACTTGTTGGTGCTAAAGTAGCTCTTTGAATGCTTCCCATAGATATGTTTGAATTTCACAAATAGTGTTCACAAGACAAACATATTTACATAAAATACATGACCTTTCAACTAGCAGCTAAATCAGTTAATTGGTTAGACGGTGATTAATTGATTTTTAAATGATGCATTCAATAAATGCTTTGTTTAAAAATTCATTAAAACTGACACTTAAATACTAGAAGCTATATTTTGGATAAATCAGCAATTGCCATGTTCTGATGTGAGTTACACTAGATTGTTACACAAGAATCCCCGCCTTTAGACACCCCATTATATGACAACACTCTTTCAACGCTTGCAAATTAAGGACAATTTCCATTACGCCCAGGAGGGATCCACTCTTTTATCAGTTCTTCTTGCCTATGGAGCAGGCCTGTACAACTTGACTGTAGGTAGG